GCTTGGCTCAGACTCGGGTGTGGTGCTCAATGAGCCATCCATTCGCACCCCGATGTCTAGCCGTCGTAGCTCGGGGGGATCCGGGCGTGCCCCTAAGAAGTCGGCCGGGCGGAAGCCTCCTGTCAAGCAAGCTGCGCTGGCGCTCCCTTCGCCTGTGGCATCGGCGTGTGTGGATCTTCAGGCTGCGCTGGGCTCTGCGGGCACGGCGACCAAGGCGCGGCGCTCTCGGGAATCTCCGGTCCCTCAGCGTGCTCCAAGTGCTCGGGCCAAGGCGGCGCTGGGCGACCTGTCTTCCTTGGAGAGTGCGCAGCTTCGACTGGCGAACAAGAATCTGGAGATTTCAGGTAACCCACCCCCTCCTTTAAGATTCTGAACGCATTTACAGATCCGCAGCTTGCTTCTATCTTAGACGACAACGGTTTCGAATTAGGAGCGGGTCGTGGTGAGCTTGTGTCCCTTATTCGTGCTCGCGAGGAGGCCCAAGCGGCTTTGGCAGAGGCCGCTGCTGCGGCCAAGGCCAGGGAGGCTGATACCACGGCGCTGGCGGTCTCTGCTGATCCAGTGACTGCGGGCATTCCTACCACGCTAGTCTTGTCGAAGGGGGCTGCCGCAACCAGGGAGGTTGGCGCAGCGCCATCGACGAGCCAAGCCCAGGCTAAGAAGCGTGTGGCAAAACCGGTGACCTCCAGAGGGGTTCGCCTTCGCAACCGTATTATCTGATGCGTTACATCTTTTGGAACATCCGGGGTTGCGGGCACTCGGGTCGACGCACACAACTTAGGGAGTATATCGCTCGCGAAAGGATTGATGTTGTGGCTCTCCAAGAAACGATCAAAGCGGACTTTTCGTATCGTGATCTTGCGGCCTATGATCCTCCGCTTCGTGTGGGGTTGGGTCCCTTCCATTGGCCATTCGGGCGGTCTACTCTTGGGATGTAATTCTGATGTTTGTGATGTTGTAACCTGGGGCGTGGGATCATTTTTCATCTCTGTCACGATTAAGCATAGAATCTCTCTCGCTTCCTGGGCGATCGTTTGTGTTTATGGCCTGGCCGACCACTCGCGCGCAGCTGATTTCCTGGGTGAAATCCAAGTCTTGGTCGGGGCCAAGCAAGCCGCTAACATTCCCATTGTTCTTGGGGGCGATTTTAACCTTATTCGTTCGGGCGTGGACAAAAATAATTGCAACATTGACTGGCCTAGGGTCTCCCTTTTTAACAATGCCATTGCGGCTTGCGCATTGCGGGAAATCGCTAGGACTGGGGCTAGATAAACATGGACTAACAAGCAACTCACTCCGGTTCGGAGCGTCCTGGACCGTGTGTTCGTTACGGTTGACTGGGAGGTGATCTTTCCCATGTGTATGCTGGTTGCTGAAACTCGCATTGGTTCTGACCATGTTCCGTTGATCCTGGCCTCTGGGAGGATAGGATCAAGCGTAGTCCATGTTTCTACTTCAAAAAAGGGTGGTTCGAGGTAGAGGGTTTCATACCCTTGCTCCTCGCGCGCTGGGAGCAAGCTAGGGCTGCGGCTGGCCGCTCCAGAGGTCCCCTTGATACTTGGTTCGGCGGCCGGGGCCCTGCGTGGTTTCCTTCGAGGGTGGGGTGCAAACCACGAAAGTGAAGCTAAACAAGCTAGGGTAGCTCTTATCGAGGAAATTAAAGCCCTTGACGTTCAAGCTGACCCTAGATCCTTTTCAGAAGCGGAGTGGGCTAATCGTTATGCCCTCGAAAATCAAGTGATGGCCATCCTCTGGGAAGAGGAGGAATATTGGCGCCGTAGGGGCGGCGTCAAGTGGATTACCAAGGGGGACGCAAATATGGGCTATTTCCACGCCTTCGCCAACGGCCACAAAAGGAAATGTTCGATTCTGAGATTGCAATCGGATCACGGGTTACTGGTCAGCCAAGCCGAAATCTCGAGGCATATTTACGATTTCTTCCTTAACCTGTTGGGTACAACGGAAGAGAAGCCCCTACGCCTCCGTGAGGACTTTTGGGGGGAAGAATCACGGGTGTCGCAAGTCGAAAATGATGGCCTGGCCTTGTCCTTCTCCACGGGGGAGATCGACGATGCGCTTGGCTCGATGAAGATCGATACCGCTCCAGGGTCGGATGGCTGGCCGGTGTCCTTCTTCCGGCGGTTTTGGCCGGCACTCAAGGACAGTTTCTACGATATTATCAACGGGTTTGCGCTAGGCACAATAGACATGTCGCGCCTCAACTTTGGCGCCATCAGCCTCATCCCTAAAGTTAAAGGGGCTTACTCGATTAAGCAATACCGCCCCATCACCCTTATTAACGTGCCTTTCAAATTATGTTCCAAGGCATACACTACGAGACTTGCCCCGGTTGCACAGCGTGTGATCGACCGTAGCCAGTCGGGTTTCCTCAAAGGCCGTAACATCCTAGAAGGTCCGGTGGTATTGCAAGAGATCGTTCACGAGCTTAAGCGCACGCGTCAGCCGACCGTGCTCTTTAAGCTTGACTTCGAGAAAGCCTACGACCGAGTGAACTGGGAGTTTATTCGCGAGGTGCTGACTCGGAAGGGATTCGAGTCGGGTTTCATTCATCGCATCATGCAACTTGTCTCTGGGGGGGGGGGCAAACTGCGGTGTCGATTAACGGAGAAGTGAGGAACTTCTTCTGCAACAAACGGGGTCTCAGACAAGGAGACCCCTCCTCGCCTTTGATTTTCAACTTTGTTGCTGATGCCCTCTCGGCCATGGTGAACAAGGCCAAGATCGCCGGCCACATTTGCGGTGTGGTGCCTCACCTCTGCCCCGGAGGGATCACCCATTTACAATATGCGAACGACACTTTGCTACTCTTCGAGCCCGATGACCATAGTATAGCCTCGATTAAGCTCATCCTCCTCGCTTTCGAGATCATCTCCGGCCTGAAGATAAACTTTTTGAAGATTGAGGTGATTGACATAGGGATGGACAATCCCCGTGCCACTCGCATTGCCAACCTACTTAACTGCAAACTAGGGAGTTTTCCAATTAAGTACCTAGGCCTTCCCATCTCGGACAAACACATCTCGATTCTCGAATGGGAACCCTTATACGGCAAGGTGGCGAACCGGGTTAGTCCCTGACGCGGCAGGTTTTTATCTTCTGCGGCTAGACTGATTCTGACAAACTCTAGCTTGTCCTCCCTGCCCCTGTTTACTATGGGCATGTTCCTGCTGGCTGATGGAGTCCACGCCAAGCTTGACACCCCTAGGTCTAAGTTCTTTTGGGAAGGAACTGGGAAAAAAAAGAAATACCACCTGATCAAGTGGGCGGTGCTCTGCCGCCCCAAGAAATTCGATGGCCTTGGGATCCTTAACTCCAAATTCATGAATGTAGCGCTCCTTGTCAAGTGGATCTAGAAACTTTCCCAGAACGAACAAGGGCTTTGGGCCGATATCCTTCGCGCCAAATATTTCCCCGATGGGAATTTCCTCACCTCAAAGGCGAAGGGATCACCTTTCTGGAACGGGATTCAGGCTGTTAAACCTGCCTTCACGTTAGGGGCCAAGTTCTGTGCTAAGAACGGGAACTCCACGAGGTTCTGGCTCGACCATTGGCTTGGGTCGGAACCTCTTTGGCGTAGCCACTTTGTCATCTATCAGCTTGCCACTAACGTCGACATTCTGGTGGCCGACGCGCTCAGATCTAACCCACCAGCCATCTCTCTCAAAAGACCACTCCTCGCCCATGAACGGGCAAGTTGGGATGGGCTCCTAACTGCCTTGCAGGGTGTATCTCTCTGCCCTGAGGCCGACACGGTCTCGTGGTCCCTCTCGGGCTCCAGAAAGTTCACGGTCCAGTCGCTTTACAATAAGCTGACCGAGGGACCGACTCTTGACATAGCTAGGGGGCTATGGAAAGCGTCTATTCCTCTGAAGATCAAAGTTTTTATTTGACAATTATTCCGTGACCGCCTTCCCTCTTCTAACAACATTGCCATTAGACACGGCCCTTCGGATGGGTCTTGTGCATTATGTGGAGCGCATGAAGATGCTAACCACATCTTTTTCAAGTGCCACCTAGCTCGTTTTGCTTGGAGTGCCGTCCGTGAGGCGTTTGCGCAGAACTGAATCCCCATACGGCTTCAGACCTACGTGGGATCCTTCTCGCTCATAGGGGTAGCTTCGGGCGCGTGCTGTGGCATTGCGTAGGGGCGCTGTGCTGGTCACTATGGACCATCCGTAATAAGATGACTATCGAACACAAGTTCCCTAACCATCCTGCTGATATTATTTTCAAATGCCACTTGTTTCTCCAGACATGGACACCTTTGGGGGAACCGCGTGATGCATATCGGATGATGGAGGCCATGGAGCGGATCCGCACGATTCAGTTTGAAGCCCGCCACTAAGATGCTGCTCGTGGTGATATTTTGGACTGGCTGCTTGTGTGCTAGTGTTGCTGTCTTTCTCTATCAGACAGGCCGGTTGCATGTTCCGTACTTTTGGCTTCGGCCACTTACCTTCTGCTGTAGTTTCTGTGGTGAACTTGTTGGATGCTGCCTGTCGGTGGGCTTTATTAATTTAAAGCCAGACGCATCGTACGTCTTCGTTTTAAAAAAAAACTTTGATACGATCAGTCGATCACTGCGAGATGTGCCCATAGCCATGTGATCAGCGTACGGTAATCCCCCATTTATTCTAACCCTCTCTGCTAATCTATAGCTGACCCGTGGACCACACCTTCATTAAACACACGAAAATAACCTTTCAAAAATTCGACATAGTCCAAGCTGACGTGGCGTTGTACAGTCAGCAGTAAACGTAGCCAAAACCGGTCAACACAGTCAAAACTGAGTAGGGGGTTGATTTGTGACCCACTGGGAAGTTAAGGGTGCTGGATTACCGGTTTTAGAGTTGAGTGTTGAAATCTAAACCGAGTGGCAAGTTGAGGGGACTTTTCTCTATAATTTTTTCGGTAACCAATGCTACATTTGTAAGAAGCTGTAATAAAATTACTGCTCGTGCGAGAATAGAAGCATCATGCTAGGCGCAACAACACTGATCGATCTTGCAGTAGGCTCCAGTCGAGGGCTTGCCGCTGATGCTGCATGCAGTCTGGCAACGGTCTTGGCACTTTTCCACATGGAAGCACACTGGAGAATCCACTCCATCTTCAACTGCAAGTTCGATCGATGATCCATATAAGTCGCGGCATAAATTGAGCAATGAATTGACGTACAATGTATGTAGGGAAAAATAGTGATGGATTTTTTTTGTTAATAAATTTACGGACCCAAATACCCGATACAAACTCTAGAGATCAACAAAATTTGGAAACACATGAATAAAACAACAGGAGATGTTATTACTTGTACGTGCATAGCAGGACGATGATGATAAGGTGGAAGACATGATCATAAGAACCACGAAAACCGCAGCCATCCGGGTCGCGTTGCTCTTGGGTGCCATGACGGAGAGATCGATGGAGAATCACTTATTTCTTTGCCGTGTGCCTAAGGATACGGTAATCTCTGGTCCTTGTATGGTCATTTATATGGAGAGAGGGTGAATCAAATCTTTGTCATTAAAATGCCTTCCAGATTTTTTAAGCTAGAATTAAATATTACTATATCAATAGAAATATTGATTTTCCGGCAGGAATGGATTGGTTTCCAAATATGTAGTATCCTCTTCCTTTTTTACAACGGCATCTTGCCTAGTTTTTTTAGGGGACTAGTATTTTATTTAGGAGGCGAATGCAAGGAAATCCGCAACGTTTTGATGCATCTTTGGAATTATTACAGGCAAGGACGTGCCATTTCCGCGAAATGCAGTAGTTGTGTTTCTTCCTTCTTTTTTGCGAGTTAATTTGGGTTCGCAATTTTCACAGCGCTACATTTGCCAGGAACAAGGTGAACTGTACTCAACTTCAGGCGAATGCAAGGAGTACTACACAACCAATTCCTTAGCGAGGTCCAATGTTGGGAGTTGCCATGTTTAATCAGATACTACTACACTTGAATGTGTTTGTTTAAATGTGTGACATTCACAAAAGGTGTTTGTTTAAACGCTTGTGAAGAACCACCTTAACGGCGATTACACCGGAGGCTAGATTTCTTCTCCGCCCCTCAAATGCACAAGGACTAGGTGAGGGATGTAGCCTGGGCTCCAAACCTAGACCGTCCAAAATCTACAATTGTCGGTGCCTCTCGGGATGGAAACCATGGTTATGTAGCACTTGTGTGGACCAAGGCGAAGCAAGTATGAGCCCCCAACGCACCAGGTTATATATGTAGCCTGTGCGTTTTGTTAATAAAGCCTGATGAATTTCAGCAGGACGCGATGTTCTCGTCGTTTGCTTCTTCATTTCTGGAGATGTACGACACATTGACACTTGTCATCGTGAGTAGACGTTGCGTGAGCGTGTGTCATGCCCGTGTTACCCTCGGTGTATCTATCTAAAAATGAATATCCAAACCTCACGTGCAGATTAAAGATTTCCAAGAGATGTTTTCTTTTCACATGGGAATGGGATTTACTAGACAGCAAGTACAGCTAGCCGGCTCTTCGCAGATAGACCATTACCCCGAGGCCGGTGACCAGGGCAGCCCCGGCCGCGACCCCGCCGTAGGCCGCCGACCACGCTTCCCGGCTGGCCAGGTCCATCGTCGTCGTTCCGTTGTTAGATGCCAGGCTTCTCCGACCCGGCGTGCCGCCAGAGTAATCCAAGAAGAGCTTCAAACCCTGCAAATGCAAAAGAAACAAAATAGTTCAAACCAAACCGGCTGAATGGAACAAGTTTCGTGATGCCGGTGGATCCATGCATGCATGCCTTCCATCCGGAGAGCCTGGCGTGGTCGACCGCCGCCGTGAGGTCGTCGTCCGACGCCAGCACCACCATGTCCCGGTCCTCGTCTTCGTACTGCAAGCATACGTACGTACCAGCCGGGTCATGCATGCATGCATTTGCCCAGTTTCATCATCACATGTATCCCGTGATGAACCACTCACCAGGATCTGAGGCAGACGGTGGCGGTCGATGTCGGTGCCGAGCCTCTGGAGTATGCAGGTGACCAGCGGCGTCAAGCTCTGCACCTCTGCAGCGCATGCATGCAGACGATAAGTCGTACTCCAGAGGCACGGTCAGTGGCAGTAGGTACGTACCGCAGCTGAAGCGGTGCATCCGGCCTCGCCTGTCCTGGAGCTTGAAGGAGAAGAGAGCGGGGTACGGCGGCTCGGCCGCCTCGTGGATGACCTCGGACATCATCTGGGACCTGGCCGCCTCCTTTTCAAAAAAAATCTGGGACCTGGTCGCGTCGCTCATCAGAGACTGGGTTTCGGTCTCGTCATCCATCGAGCCCAAGGCCATGGCGGAGTCCCAGAACCTCTGGATCATCGAGATGGTCGCCTCGTCCCCGGTGCCGCTGCTCTCAACCTATACATTCATGCAATCAGTAGGAGACATCTCATCAACCAACTCAAACTTTTTCTGTCTTCTGAAAAAAAGGAGGACTTACGATGGAGATGGCGGCATGCGTGATGTCGATCACGTCGACGATACAGACGATGGAACCGTCTGCCCGCACACAGACGGTGAAAACACAGAAATGTGAGTGCCAACTCGCCATTTCTCCTCTGCTCTGCATAGCACATACTAGTATATACCTCTGTCCATCACGGGAAGATGCAAGAACTTGCGCTCCTGCATTGTCCGGAGAGCATCCAGTATCGGCGTGTCGACCGTCGCGCACTCGGGGTCAAGAGTCATGACCTGCAGGTGAATCATATACATTTCAGCTTCCATCACATTCACATGGCTGCCAAGAAATATATCGTGGCGGTTGGAGTTGGAATGCATACCTTCTCGACCGGGGTTGAGTCTGCAGGGAGGTTCCTGGCGATCATTCGCATCAAGATGTCCCTGGAGCTGCACGCCCGTAGACCATTGCCAACACCAAAGGAGGATAATCAGCAAAACGCTCATCTGACCTGACACAAGGAAATGCCACTGAAAGGCACGTACGTGAGGATGCCCCGAGGTTTATTCCCGACGGCCACGACGGCAGAGTTCGCATGCGCCTCCACCATCATCTTGGTCGCCGCGAGCACCGAATCGCCCGGCGCTGCGATCACAACCCTACATTATAGATCCACATGGCATCAGTTCTGATGAACTAACGCACTACATGCGCAGATAACTGAATGAAGCAAATGCAGAGGGGCTCATGAACCAAACGTTGAGTCAGCAGTGATTATTGTCGACAAGGATGGCCTCAACATTTGCTCCTTGAATGCCTCTAGCAACGAGCTCGGGTTACCTGCAGATCCAACCTTATTCGTTTGATAGGGATGTACAGTATAGATGATTTGACTGCAATCAGCACACTTGACATAGGATTGATTGCTAGGATTGCTGCCGGTGCTACGTACTCCCAGAGTGGTACTTGTCGGTGCCGTCGATCACCGCCTTCCCCTTCTCGGACGCCCGCTCCATCCTGGCGATGGCGTCGTAGAGGCACTTGGCGATGTCGAGCATGGCCATCACCTCCCCGTTCTCCACCACCGGCAGGTGCCTGAACTTGCCTGAAATTACACCGGAGCAATTAATTAATCAACTCTTCATATAGAGAAGGGAAAAGGCCAGGTGCAGCTCGACCTTGGACCATCTTCTGCAGCGCCTCCACGGCAAGCGTGTCGGAGAGGACGAAGACCGGATGCCTCGTCATCACCTTCCACACCGGCGTCTCGTCCATCCTGACCTCGCGGGCGATCACCCTCGTAGCAATGTCCTGTAGATTAAATCACAGCTCAGACCGCGCATTGGCAATTCCATTTCCACCTTCCTTGTCGAGAGAAAGGTATTAGCTACGGCATGCACCTTGTCGGTCAGGATGCCGCAGAGCAAGGCGTTGGAGTCGGTGAGGAGCGCGGCGTCCACCCTACGCGCCGCCATGCGCCGGCAAGCCTCCAGCACGGTCGTGCTCTCCGGCATCGTCAGCGCCTTGGACAGCCGCAGCCGCTTCACCGTGCGCTCGCTGCCCAGGGTCCTGCGCCACCGGCCACGCGATGCATGCTTACATTTGATCAAGCATGCATGCATGCAAAGAAATTGATTGGAACGGAGATGGAGGCGGGTACGTACACGGACCGGGCGAGCCCGGGCTTGGGGCCGGCCATGCCGGCGGCCGCCGCCCGCCGGGAGCCGCTTCCCAAGGACATCGTCCGCCTTGGCGGCGACAAGCCGGCCATTGCGCGGCGTGGACGTGCGTACGGCTAGCCGTCTGGGAAATGGGGGCGAAAATGCATGGAAGGTCGACGTCGTGCCTGGTTCAGCTCCCGCCATTTTTTCCCATCCGCCAGGTTAATTGCTCGTTAAATTGCACAAAGCATTGTTGCACTGCCCAATTATAGCATGTGGTGGGAGTGATCTCTAGGAGAAGCTAGTTACCATGGGCTATCACATTTAGAGTAGAGAATGAGAGACCAAGTGAATCAAGCTCGTTTATCCCCTTTTTGTTTTTGAAAAAGAGGTTGGAGCCTCGGCCTCTCCATCAATTGATGCACACAGTCATTCTTATTAAATGATGCGAGACATCGAGACAACATCAACAAATGGAGTATATAACAGATGCAACTATGGCGGAAATATTACATGATATGAATGTAACACCTAGGACTATGTCGACTTCTGGACGGAAGACTGCTTGACGGATGGCTCTCTCCTCCCCTCCCTCGCTCCCTCCCCGCGGGACGCCGTCGGCTTGCGGTTCCCCCTCGTCCCCGGCGTCCAAGTCAGATTCGCTCCCCTGCTCCCTTCTCCCCTCGTGCTCCTCTCCGGGCTATCCGCCGGCGGCGGGGCCCGAACCCCTCCCACCTGCGTTCCCCCCTCCCTGTCCGGTGGCCCTGGCAGCGCCACGGGCCAACAAGTTCTGGGCCCTTGATTCCGACGACTCTGGCTCCGATTCTGATCCTGAGACTCCCCCTCCTCCTCGCTCGGCATCGGTGGTTGGGTTGCCTCCGTTATTGGTGGCGGGCCGTCGGCGCAAGTTTGCTCCGGGGGGTCGGGGTCGGCTGTGTGCGCTTGATGCAGGCCCGGATGGATGGCGTCGTGTTGGCCGTGGGCGCCGGCGCGCCGCTCCCTGGGCGGCGGATCCTTCTTTGGTGAGCCCGGGGGTGGACGCCATGGCCTCACCCGTCTCATCCTCCTCGGTGGCGGTGCCCTCCGGTTCGTCGCCGTCCAGGCGCCTCCCTTCCACGTCGTCGGCGGCGCCGGCGCAAACCCTAGATCTGGGATCGGGTCTTGCGTTGGTGCCCCGGTCCGTGGGCCGGGTCCCTCTGGTCGGTGACGGGCCGTGTGGG